GGGAAAATAAGTTTCTATAAATATGACACAATATTTATAATAGGTACTTGTACGCTGTGGTCTTTGAGTTTGTGCAACTATTTGTAATATATGTCCTTGATATAACGTACTCAAAGGAGACCGACCGGTCTAATAAAAAGGTTTACGTGGAGAGGTACTCCAACACGTAGAACGTCCCTTAAAAAACTCAAATTTGTTTGATGTGACGCATCAGTGGTGATCCATCTCTAAGTAACCACAATGAATTGTTTCAGGATGGTACCCCGTAATATAGATGAGATAGAAAATGTGGAAAAAATGAATAAATAGTAGCTAATGTAGTAATTTGTGCGGGCTAAGTGCAAAGATATTACCTACATTTGAGACCATTGAATTAAAAAAAAATGTAAATTATAATTACATCTATACTATAATAAAACAGTAGAGGTCGAATGAATGTACATAGCAAAAAAATGCTAAAAACCGAGTCAGGGGGATGTAAGAAGACAAATAGAATAAATCCAAATTTTTTTCAAATTTTTCAACAACTTACGCACCTAATTTAGTAAAATTTAACATTCTGATACCTTATATTGCCGGTCAAACAACAGGTTACTTTTCATCCCGGAAAAATGAACGGTTCCCATGGGAACTAACAGATCCTAGTTTTAAATAAAAAAATATTATTATAAAAAAGTATTATTATAATTACATGTTTCTCAAATTACTAAATAATTCATTTTTTATTTTTGTTTCAGATATCAAGTCAGAAAGCATGGATAGTTTTAATTCAGGTAGGCATCTAAAAATAATTTACTAGCAGAACCCACGGCTACGCTAGCGCTAAAACTACAAAAAATCTCTAAGAACTAAGAAGGTAGTTTCATACAAACTTTCGACCTCTATTTTATCCTCTTGTAGGATGAATTTCGAAAAATGCTAAAACACGTATTTATTTAATTTTATTGAAGAGCATTAATACCAAGTTTCCAGTAATCTTGATCATAAATATTTTTTTGGATTGTATTATAATGTGTTATCCCGTGAAAATTAGATAATATATCGCGTTAAAAAGTAGCCTATGTCAGTCTCCAGCCCTCCAACTATCTCCACACAAAAAATCACGCCAATCCGTCACTCCGTTTCGACGTGAAAGAAGGACAAACAAACAAACAAACAAACAAACACACTTTCACATTTAATATTTTAAGATATGAATATCTAATAGGTAAATATGTATTTTACGTAACGATATATATATATATATATATATATATATATATATATTCTCTCTATCTATTCTCTATCCTTTGCGTCGGCTGGCACCAACTTCGAAAATATCTGATTAGGTATCTATTCTAAATGAAAACCCCCGTTTAGTTATTTTTTACATTTTAGTGCCTGGAAGTCGGTTTTTTTATGATTTTATTTCATTACATACATATTTAGAAAATATAGAATTTGAAATCATCAACTTGAATAATAATTTGTCCTTAATTTTTTTATACATACAAAAGTGCTAAAAAATATTGCGTCGGTACATAAACATAAAAATGTGTATTGTTACCTAAGGATTTGGAAAACATTGTTTACCTTTGTTATATATAAGATATGTTTTCGCCAATTTTTTCTAAATAAACTACGGGAATTAATATATGAAATACGAAAAAAGTTAAAAATAGCTACACAGAATTCATGTTAATATTTGAATAGTGGGAAGTGTATAATGTAAGTCAGAGCAGCAGGACAGGCCGCGGTGTTAACGGAGCCCTGGAGGGTCCTTGCCGAGTCACAACATAAACTTGAGGAGCAGATATTCTTGCTCCGAGGAATCGTAGTTTCTCTCCGGGCGACACTAAAACGAGGCACGACTAACACGCAGTTTGTACAAGCGTTCCATTCTCGTTCGTAAAGGCGTGACCTTATAATTGAATTGTTATTACATAAAATACATAAAATAGAGTAAGAAGATTTGCTATTTCATTTTTCGAATGATTTTATATCGTATTTTGTTTATCCAATGAGTTCCGGGCGTAGTGGCTATAAATATATGTATGTTATATTGTTTCATACGCAGTTTCACAATAGAAATAAATTACTAAATAAATTTATAAAATAAAAACAATAAAATGGCAGAAAAGTTGAAAATTCGATGCTAAAATTGCATTGTCGGCTGCGGGTCGCGACCGTCCCGAACTTACAATTAAAACGGACGCTCCAAATTGTTGTACATCGTTTGTCGCTTAGTACGCGATGGTCGCGCGCAGCACTTCATCCAGACGTTAGTATGTCATCCTAATTACTCGGTGCATGTTGGTGATACAAAACACATTAAGTAAAATACAACTTTTTATTAGTGATAGTAAGTCATTAATAAATAATACATCTAAATAAGTTATGTAATTTGGCACTTGTATCTAGAAAGTAAATGTTGACACAGTACAGTTACATTGTACTATGTACATAATATTATGTATCATATTATTGAATATTTATTTATTCTATTAAGAAGGGCAAATGCATGCATATGATCTGTTTAAATGGCTACCTAAGTAGGTAATTTAGATGGAATGATGAAGGGTTAATTATATCATTCCCTATATGTATGATCTAACTTTTTAATCTATACTAATATTATAAAGAGGTAAAGTTTGTGATCTTGTGAGTTTGTGGGTTTGTGAGTTTGTGAGTTTGTGAGTTTGTGACGTTGTAGGGGGTAATCTCTGGATCTACTGACCCAATTTTCAAAATTCTTTTACCAATAGAAAGCCACGTTCTTTCTGAGTGTCATAGGCTATATATTAACCCGAAGAATGAAAAGACTTTTTCGTGGTAGTCGGATTTGCAAAGTAAGTCGGAGAAAAAACGGTCGAACGAAAACGTTTCTTACGAACGCTGCCTTAACGATGAGAGATACATGATTATGTTCTAGAGAAAAGTTGTAGAGCTTAATAATGCCTACAAAAAAGTCAGCGACAGCATATGTCTAACTTTCATATTTAAGTCACAAAAAGTAGTTTTTTACATTAAAAAAATAATTTAAATCGGTAGGTCATGTTTATTGGTCATATTATAAACAATTATGAATTCTTATCAAAATAAATAAATTTATCGTCTAAAATGTTTAAAACAAAAGACTTTTCCCTTTTACTGCATATAATTTGGACAAATGGTTAAAGAGATAATACAATATATTCGTAGGTATGGACGGACCCGAGCGAGCTGTTTGTCTGTTTTCCTGTTTGTACGGGCTAATCTCCGAATCCATTGGACCGATTTAAATGAAATTTTGCATGGTGGTACCTTGTATCCCTAGGCAACATCTTAGATACTTTTCATCCCGGAAAATTAAATAGTTCCCGTGGGATAGTTAAAAAACTATAACAACTTATACAGCTTAGTACACAAAAACTATTGATTGGATTTTAATAAAACTTTACAATAATATAGTTCATACATGACAATAACAAATCGGCTACTTTAAAATCCCGGAAAATTAAAGGGTTCCCGTGGGACAGTCAAAAAACTATAGTAACTTATACAGCTTAGTACACAAAAACTACTAATTGGATTTTGATGAAACTTTACAATAATATAGGTCATACATCAGAATAACAAATAGGTCACTTTTTATCCAGGAAAAATATACAGTTCCCGTGGAATAGATGTTTTCGTTTATTTGTAACGTATTATGTACACAACATTCAGTCATTCAGTCGTTTGTGCTTTTCTAGAGGTGAACCCGAGCGAAGCGAGGGTGAGCCGCTAGTTAGATATATAAGGTTACACGTTCTAACTGATTTACCAATGCCCAGATTAAGCCCCTGGACTGACTGGCTTATTCGTTCACTATTTTAACCTTATGGTTATCTATCTATATAAGTGCCAAGAACGGGTTTAAAAATTGAACAGAAAAGGAGTGGGAAGGGTGAAAATTTCGTATGAAAAAGTTTTTGTATCTCAAATAAAAATAACAATCTGGCAAAGAAGTATCTAAAATATTTTTTGTATATTTGGAGTAGATATACTATTTACTCAGCTAGGCTTAAGCTCCTACCTCTAATAAAATATACTTAAATACTATATATGAGGAAACTTAAATAAAGTTTCCTATACAATTGCATACAATATATAAATAAAGACATAAATGTTATTAATTGATACTAAAGAATAAATTATAATCGTTGATCGACTAAAATAAAGTGACGGCTCGACTTTTATTAGCCTGGATAGTAACATGGTTCTGCAATCAGGTGCAGTTTAAAATGTGCATTTACGATGTGGCGCGCTGCAGCGGGCGCAGGGCGCGGACCGAAATGCATTTTCAATAATTGAGGGTCAGACAGGGTGGAAGTGGTGGAGGCGCATTAAAATGTTCGCTAAACTTTCCGATCGTCACCGAGCCGGAGCTGCTGCCACGACATTGACGGCCCAGACGGACCTACTTGCTTACTATAATATATGAAAAAGTCAACTTAAACAACCTTTTATCTTTCGTATCGAAATAATATTTTACTTTACTTTTTATAATACAAATTTGGTTCAGTTAGATATTTCACGTGCTACTTACCTATATATTATTGTAGTGAAGTTAATGAAAAATCAAACATTTATACCTAATAATTTGACAATTACCTATCAGCTCTGTTTAGAGAAAAGCCTTAACTTTGAATTCTTAGTATATGTAAAGGATTATCAAAAATACCCCTGATACTAACTAAAAGATATCGCTCAATACAGGAGAAAACTTTTTAAGATTTCTTCCATAGTTTGCCTATCACAGTAAAGTGTGTAGATTGATGTTTCAATATTAAAGCTTTAGTAAGACTCCTCATATATCTAACAAGATAAAGACAAACAAAGAAGTTTTCGTCTGTTATTTTCTCGGGGAGATCACGTAGGAACGCACCTCATCTGCGGCAATCCCAGCGCGACGATAAAATTTAAAATTCAAGGCCGCGTTAACGAACCAACTTCGCGAAGAAATAGATATTCAAATGTGAGATCCCATATTAACATTTATGGCAAGTTTGCGGGGTCGAGACAAAGGCTGGTCGGAGGCCCCCGCGGAGCGGCGCGTGTCGAGCTGTTCGATCTACATCACTTGCCTCGTTGTAGGCAGTAGGTATCCTTGAATACTACTGCTATCCTCATAGAAAAAGAAATATTAAGATATATATATATAGTACTTCAAGATGGAAATTTACGAATATTAAATGCATTATTTTTTTATTAAAAAAACCGAACATTTTTAGTTTAAGAGGTTATTCATAATATGATTGTCCTCTACAATAATTCACAACTAAACTTAGCACCTGGTTTCTTTGTTAGAAATAGACAATAGCATTATATTTGGTAGCTCCATTTTCTCCAAAGACAAATAAAACTTTAGAAGTAAAACAAATCAAAATCCCAATTTCACTGGTTGCATTATTTATATCATATTGCTTGGCGAGTTTCGTTTTCGCCTTTCCCCTTTCTTTTCTATGAACTTGCGGTGTTTGTTGTGTAATTTATGCCATGAAAACTTCTACCTGCCATTTCCAAACGGCGATATATTTAATATTTTTGTTTGGTCTATATTTAAGGGTATCTTTGGACGAATATGAAATCCGAGTTACTTTGTAAGCGAGTTATACTGCAGGACACACACGTTTCTTATTAATATCGGGCGGTCGGAATGGCCGAAGATGTCCCAAGCGCCCGTTCTCTCCCAAATAAAATTGCCGCTATCTAAACAAAGAGCCCTAATTATTCGGCCGTGGCGGGCGGGGTCGCTCTCTTATGGGTGTTCTGGGGCCCATTTCGCTTCTCGTATAGGACCCTGGGGAGCAGCGGGCGCCGCCTAGCCAATCGGTGGATGGAGAAGCGAGCGATCCGCAACCTTTTTATGTGCTATATTGGTGTTAGCACTGGACTTCAGTTCGGCCAAGCTTGTGCTTTCCCCGGGAATTAAAACATCCAAAGTAGCTCTGATTACCGGAAACACACATTAACTCAATTATAAATGTCTATACAAGTAAAAATTTATGACCGACCCTTGTCTACATAAATAGCGAGCAACATATTCTAGATCGAAGTAGGTACACACACATTCTTATACATATATCGATTGCTGTTTTTCTTTTTTAATCATACGGTAGGTAGTAGTAGGTAGTATGCCAACGGATTTTATGTTATAATACCTTTACACGAATACGAAGGATATCTTTTGTATGCTGTGTGATGCTATGAAGTGTTTTGAAAAACGCAATACCCACCGGTTATACACTTCGGTACTTATTTTAATTTGCACCCGATTTCATTTTGAGACAATAAATTGAATATAAAGGGTTTCCGAGCGGTTTTTGCCTCCGGGCGTATTGTCTTCGCCCTACGCCTTTGCAGCGTTCTTATTGTGTAGAAATTACGGAATAAAAAGGCGATATCGTGTGTCGGCGCGGTGCGCTATGGCGTGGGCGACGCGACATACGACACCGTGCGCCCGGCGCGGCCCGCGCCGCCAGCCAGCATTGTGAGCGCCATTCACCCGCCGCCCGCCACCGGCTCATATTCGATTGCAGTGTTTTAAGTATTCGATTGCCCATGCCGATATTAAAGGGTTCCCAAGAAGTACGTATATTATGATTTTTTTTACGTTTTACAGTCTTTTAGTCCGGGTGAAGGGTACGCTTATTGTTTCTATGGTGAATTGTGGCGAATGAATGGGCCTCGAGCATTCATATGTTCGATGTTTGGAGATCGTCGGAAGATAATAATGAGGCGGGTTAGGGCGGTACAGGGTCGCTTGAGGTGGCAACAACAAACCTCCCACACTTAATTAAGTATTTGAATATGAAAATAAAATATGTCAACATTTTGATAGTCTTCAAAATACGAGTGCAATATTAATAACAGAAATCACATTATTCAAATAAGCAACGAATCTATACCGTTAAATATGTACTTAAAAATAAGGATTTTTGTTTTAATTACTGACATACTTGCAATTAATTGCTTCCGGACGTTTTCACAAATTGAAGTTCAGGTTACCATAAAATTTTCCGCCTGACTAAGTTTAAGCTCACAGAAAACCTTCAGCCACTAATCCGTCCACTGGACAAGAAGTTAGTACCCAGGGGATGCTCCGATATTGCGTCAACACTTGAAACAGATGCACCTAACTTATGCATGGACAGAGATACTGGAACTCCCAAACCTGAAAACTTGGCGAGTATCATATAGATATAATCAAACTTGAATTCAAATGTTGTTATTATAAAAGTAAAATAGACTATAAAATGTTACTTTTTTATAATATTATTAAAACTATTATTTTAACAAAATAACAGATATACAGTTAATCACCGAAAAATGAATGCATAAACCCTTCATTATAATGAGATTTGAAAACAGTTAAAGGCGTGAAATTACGGTAGATATCGATTTTCGGCTTGAGTGATCAATTATTTGCTGTAAATCACAAATTGCTAGATTATTCTTTTGATTTTGCTCCGCTGGTCAGTGGACATACTATAAATAATGAGATGGTAAAGCTCACTAGGCGTTAACAATGACACCTTGGCGGGGTCGCCTGCGCTGGAGAAAGTCATTCGGCGTGGGAACTGAGAGGTCGTGCGGGCCGGGTTCCGCATAACTGTCAATTATAACGAACTCCTGGAACATAGCATAGTAAACTTCTGTAATAGATTTGCGTAGAGATGAAATGTGAGGTGAGCAGTTTATTTTATCACTGATTAGATGTAAGGCGCGTGGCCGCGGCGGCGAGGTGTCGCAAAGCGGCACTGATTATATCGGAAGCTCCTTCATCTTGCCGCTGTTACCGACAGCCTACAGTCGCGTACTGACCTAGCGTGCTTAACGTAATCTGCATGCCCAATGTTATTGTGCCATAAATATCAATGAGAGATTAATCTTAATAAACAGATCGGCAATTATTGAAAAACAAAAACATCCACAATATGTAATGAACTAAAATATCTTGACGTTTCATATCTATACTAATATTATAATATGTAAAAGTTTGTGAGTATGGATGTTTGTTACTCTTTCACGTCAAAACGACTGAACGGATCTGGATTAAATTTGGCATAGAGATAAATTATAGTCTGGAATAACACATAGGCTACTTTTTATCCCGGACAAATGTAGGGTTCCCGTGGGATAGAATTGTTTTTTTTCCTAGAGACAACCCCGAGCGAAGCGAGTGTGTGCCGCTAGTAATAGCAATGTTGAAGTCAGATAGAGTTTAAGGTAACAGCGCGCTCTATCGTTCAGCAACAGGAACGATCTAAAGTGAGGGTTCATTTCGAGGTCGTTTCACAATTTGCTTCGTGCTGACATCTAACGGAAAAGCAAGGAACCTGATGTATATGTGAATTTTCTTAAAAAAGTAGAAATGAAGAGTGACCTGCATACTTTTACATAGATGCGTATACATTTCCAATAAAAACAAAATACAATTATAATGATTTAATATTAGGATGATAGATACCTACTTTAATATTAATTCAAACTATAAGCAATAAGTTTCATACTTAGTATAGAAAATAAAGCATTTGTTATGAATAATTTTTAGCATTACAATATGAATTAAATATCTATATGTGCAAGTTTAATCAAATATTAAATTCCTGTAATGGTTATTCTTATAGAAGAAAAGTAAAATATAATATTTAGGCATTTAAAATATTTTTTATTGATAGCTTAAATAAGTCTGGTTTCTATAGGTATGGTAGTATTTCTATTCAAAATAAAATTTATATTGATAAAACTAAATTGTAACAATTATAACATGTAAAAAAATATATCTTTTATAATTTTGCTATATTATTTTGTATATATGTAAAAGTATTCAACTTTTTTTAACGTTCATCTGCTGGGCATGGAACTATCTTCAATACATGAGGAATCAGGCCATAGTCCACCACACTGGCTAAGTGCGGGTTGGTTGACTTCACATATGTTTCGAAAATTTGCTAGGTACTCTCAGACATGCAGGTTTTCTCACGATGTTTTCTTTATGATGTTTTTCCCGTAAAACAAGTGATTATCGTGTTGGAAATGATTCAGATTCAGAGGTGTGAGACCCGGGATTTGAACCTGCTTCACTCGGTCCAGAGGGGGCATGGCACCACTGGGCTACCTATTATATTATTAGTTTTATAATATACTAGCGACTCACACTCGCTCCGCTCGGGTTAGTCCCTACTTACGTTTAAACGTTTAGTAGGTATAAATTTCTGAGAAATGAGATATTTGCCCGCAGTAAAAAGTATCCTATAAGTTAACCCGGATAACCAGCTATCGTCATAATTCATACCAAATTGTATCAAAATCTGTCCAGTGGTTTTCTCGGGATGCGATCAAACAACAAAAATTCTAAAAACTATAGATTCGATACAGATATCGATAATAATATATGACTATTTCAATAAGTTTTTCCAAAAAAAATTATGCACTGATTCGTTTCAGAATTTAATATATGTATAGAAAATGTACATTATAAATACTAGTAGTATGTAATACTACTATACCTAATAATGATTAAACGACCGTAGCTACCAACCTACAGTCGTTTAATCATTATCTGTAAAATGATAAAAAAGCAAGAAAACATAAAAAACTTTTAAACTCAACAATAGGTGCCGACTATCTTACTATACATGAATGTTTTTGTCAATAGAAAATTTGAAAAAAACATGTTATATAATTTATTATATTATATTATTATTTTTTATTTTAATATCATTAGTATATTTACAAATCAATCGGTTTTAATAAGGTGGTCAACATAATTAAGACTCATACTCACAGAACAATTAATGCCTTTATACATAATAGGTATATTATGTCTTAAACCTAACAAAAGGTTATTCATTAATTTGGTGAAGCGAGAGTTATTTAAATAGTTTATTTGTTATGTTATAAAATATATTTAAGTCAAAGTTTGTTTATATTTAATTTAGAATAATATATAAAATATTTTTAATATTTGATTTTAATCGTTAAATAGGCTAATTAAAAATCAAAACTTTCTAGAAACCAAGAATTAATGATACACGAGTAAGAAAAGAAGCCAGCAAATAATGAAATTACTAATGGGGCATTCCACGCCAAAATCGGACGGTTTCAAAATTTTTTATTTTTTATTTTTTTAATATTTTGGTATTTTTTAGTACCCCTCAAAAGAGGCTTCCTAGGTTAGGCTGGTAAATTTTGAGATTTTTTGATCACAAAATGAAAAAAAAAAACTAAATAATCGAAAAAAAATAGTCATTATGGAAGGCCCACTACCAGACTGGGCTTCAAAATTGCATGAGGGATAGAAGTTTAAAAACAAAAATTTTTCAAAAAAATCGAAGGATACACACTGTTTTAAAAACACGATTGAAAACTTAAAATTTAAAAGTCTCGATTAAAACATTTTCAATACATCTTTTTTTATTTTTTTTATGTAATGGTAATCCAAAAACAAAAGTTTTGAAAAAAAAATTGAATTTCGACCATTATCATGAAACTTATGAGCAAAAACCCAAATAAAAGAGCGGTTTTTTTTAATTCGACTTTAATACTTTCTTAGATTTACGCGAATGTTTGACATTATTAAATAAAACTATCTTTTCGGATTATTTCGCGGATTTATTTTGATTTTTGGTTCCCGACGTTCTCTCCCGTGTCCATGGATGCTGTAAAGCATTCGAAACGTCGGGAACCAAAAATCAAAATAAATCCGCGAAATAACCCGAAAAGATAGTTTTATTTAATAATTCGACTTTTTAACACCAGTGATCAAAAAATCTCAAAATTTACCAGGAAGCCTCTTTTGAGACGTACTAAACAATATCAAAATATTAAAAAAACAAAAATGAAAATTTTTCAAACCTCCGATGTCCGATGATCCGAAGTCCGATTTGGCGTGAAATGCCCCTAATGTATTTTAATATCTTAAACTTCTATTTAAATATTATTTTTATTTTTTTATATTCAAAATATTGATAAGTTTTAAAGCTACATGGGCGTGACGTACGGGCGGTATTGTGGGCGTATACGTTCCCGCCCATCGCACCCAAGCCTGCACCCAAGGGCTATCCTACTTTTGATTACAAACTTGTATCAGTCCTGAACTCAAATAAAAACTACTAAACCTTCAAAACTTATTGTTTCGATTTCAATATTGCTCCTTTATTTGAAAAAAAAAGCCAAGTTGTTTGGTTATAAATCATGGTCTTTTTTGGTATATTTTAATAGTGCGTATATAAATTGTTGTGTAGAATCTAGAGTCAAACTGCAATGATTAATTATAAAAAAGAATGAAACCAATTTGTTTAACAATCAATTAAATAAAAACAGACGATGATGTTTATTCAGAGTTAGTGAGTAGATATCTATCGGTAATGGCGAGTAAAATGCGTGAAATAAGCCGCCCGCGCCGCGACCACCCAATAATAGGAACATCCGCTGATGACGCTGCTTTTGGAACACCCGTATAATGAAATCATATACTGGTACATAAATTGCCAGGATAAGATTCTTCGTGATACGGTTATTTTACAGCATATAGTAAAATTTATTATAATTATTTGATAAATAAAATTAGCTAATTATTCATATATT